CATCATCACCATCACCATCACCATCACCATCATCACCATCATCACCATCACCATCACCATCACCATCATCACCATCATCACCATCACCATCACCATCACCATCATCACCATCATCACCATCACCATCACCATCACCATCATCACCATCATCACCATCACCATCACCATCACCATCATCACCATCATCACCATCACCATCACCATCACCATCATCACCATCATCACCATCACCATCACCATCACCATCATCACCATCATCACCATCACCATCACCATCACCATCATCACCATCATCACCATCACCATCACCATCACCATCATCACCATCATCACCATCACCATCACCATCACCATCATCACCATCATCACCATCACCATCACCATCACCATCATCACCATCATCACCATCACCATCACCATCACCATCATCACCATCATCACCATCACCATCACCATCACCATCATCACCATCATCACCATCACCATCACCATCACCATCATCACCATCATCACCATCACCATCACCATCACCATCATCACCATCATCACCATCACCATCACCATCACCATCATCACCATCATCACCATCACCATCACCATCACCATCATCACCATCATCACCATCACCATCACCATCACCATCATCACCATCATCACCATCACCATCACCATCACCATCATCACCATCATCACCATCACCATCACCATCACCATCATCACCATCATCACCATCACCATCACCATCACCATCATCACCATCATCACCATCACCATCACCATCACCATCCATCATCATCACCATCATCATCATCACCATCACCGTCATTATCACCATCACCAGCATCACCATCATAGCCTCTCTTTTTCTTTCTTGGTAATCCATCCAAATTGCTTCTGCATTATTCTCCTGCTCCTTTTCCTCCTTTCTTCCTACACCTCTCTTTTCATAATTGTTTTCAAATTGAAATTGAACAACCAGTGAAAATGCTCCCTGGGGACATAGATAGTTCTAGTTCCTGGTAAGGAAGTAAAATTATACCTACCATTTTTTCAAAGCTCTTCCATTCTCAATTTCGAATCATTTGTCCCACCAACAAAACACATCCCAATTTTTGGTTCAGAATGTGCTTCCTCTACTTGCACTAGAAATGCCAATCCTGTCTCCTTCTTGCCATCTCATGGCAGGATGCTACTCCCTGATCAGAGCTGACTGGATCAGGGCTGGATACCTGACCCAAGCAGAAACTCTCTCCCATGAGTGAGGAATCAGGACCCTGTGAGTACAGGTTAGTGGCTGCCAGGATGGAAAGGGCAGATTGCTACACAGAAAGCTGGTCTGTGGACAGAAGCAACATGAAGCAGGTGCACTGAGAGGAGAGACTTGGGTCTTGACAGAGAAAGAAGGTGGCCTTTGGCAAGCCAGGAACAGAACCCTCACTAGAAAATGAATAAGCCAGAACCTTGATCTTGAACTTTTAGCCTCCAGAACTGTGAGAAAAGAAATATCTGTTGTCTAAGCCACCCAGTCTGTGGCATTTTGTGATGGCAGCACTCACAGACTAATGCACAGGGCTTGGTAAACATTTCCTGTGAAGGACTAGATGGTACATATTTCAGGCTTTATGAACTACATGGTGTCTCTCACAACTACTCAACTGTGTTGCAGTGTGGAAGATGTTACAGACATACATAAATGACTGGGCGTGGTTGTGTTCCAATGAAACTTTACTTACAAAAATATGCAGTAGGCCAGATTTGCATGAGCTCTAGCTTAAAACAATGAACATTTATTTTGTTCATAAATTTAACTTATGGTACACTTATATCATGCTGGCTGCTGGCTGGGCATCCAGCCGGGGCTGAGGGCTGGAGTTGCTGTTTCTCTTCTTGTTGTCCTGTCCACGGGCTGCTTGGGCTTCGTTACAGTGCGGTGACTGTTCCAAACTCAAGCATCCTGAGATGATGAGGCAGAAGCTGTGTCATGGTTTGTGACCTAACCTTTGAAGTCACATGGGTCACTTCTGCTCTATCACAAGCAAGCCCAGGTTCAAAAGGAGGGAACACAGAGCCCACCTGTCAATGGGACAGTGCCAATGTCACATTGAAAGGAGAGCGTGTGGAATAGGGTCTTGTTGCAGACATCTCAACGAGATACAACAACAATCTACAGTTATCTGTGGCCAGGCATAGACAGCAAGGCAAGCACAGATGACTGTGGGTTGTGGTTAAGTTCTTTGAAGGAGAGAATTAGGCTGCTGTGGAGAATGAAGGGGGTGGGGGAGCTTTCTTTATGTAGTACAGCCAGGAAGCCTGTCTGGAGCTGAAATCAAACAACTTCCCAGTTATGGGAAGAAAGACCAGGCAAAGGAAGCTGCAGGGGCACACGCTGGAGGCCAGGAAGGTAACCGGCTGGAAGACCAGACAGACTTGGGCTTGAATCCTGCCCAGTCATTACTTTCCCTTTGGCGAGGCACTTCACCTAGGTGGACCCAAGCTAGTG